TACAAAAACAGATAGCTTGCCTATAGTTTGTTGACCCCAGTTAAGACCACTTACTTTTTTCATTTTCTTTTTTTTTTTTTTAAAGGTTTCTACAATAGGACACATGTACTTGCAAGAGAGAGAAAGTGAGCGATCACCAGCGGGGATAGCCACCCACAGTCCCTTCTCCTCCATTCTCCTCTCGGGATTTTGGGCACACATGCATACATGCCCAGTGTGACTTTTAAGCTACTAGGTCCAGGACTTGAACTATGGTGGGCTATGTGGAAACCCAGTGCCATCACAGCACCACCTACTGGTCCCTAGATCATTCACGTTTAATGTGTTTTATATAATTGTCAATTCAGGGACCAGCAGGTGGCATGGACATTAGGCAGCAGGATCCCACATGACAGCACTGTTCAAAACAGTGCAGTTCAATGACAGCAGCTGGAAAAACATGCTAAGTGCATGTGCATGTGTACCCAAAATCCCAAGAGAAGAATGGAGGAGAAGGGATTATGGTGTGGCCATTTCTACCAAGGGGTACTTTCTCACTTTTCTTCTGTCTCTCTCTCTCCCACTCTTTCGAGCCCTATAATGAACAAAACACTGATTATAACTGCTATTTATTTTCTATATGTCCCATATGTTCTTTGTTCCTTTTTTCCTTTTCTCACTTTTTTTTGGAATTATTATGTACCTTTTTTATGATCCCACTCTATCTCCCTATTGGTTTATTAGCACTAACTCTTTTGTACACATTGGTAGCCCTGTGTGAGCTTCAAGGACTATTCTCTCACTTTCTTACATGTATATGCTGATCAGTACTTAGTTGAAGGCCAGGAGACAACCTTCCACAGATATGCAAGAGTGTTTTCTTTGTTCTTTCTGGGATTATACCCTGAGAATTCAGGCTACTTTGGCCTGTTTACATTCCCATCTCTGCTTCTAATTCAGAGAGAACTCCAGACTAAACTCGGGTTCTCTCTCCTATGCATAGTCTAGAAACTAAGTTACTGGAGTGTTAACATCTTGTTTGGTTCCCATCTTTTGAGAATGAATCACTGTCTTGTGCTGCCAGATGTAAAATGTCTTTGAAATGAATTTTTTTTTCTTGATGTATTTATTGAGGTTCCTCCCCCCCCCCATTGTTTCATGTGAGAGAGTAAGAACCTTTTTCTACACCTTGGTCAAAAGTAGACATCTCCTGATACTTTTTAATTATTCTTTGAAAATTCTGTGCAATGTGCCTTAGTTTTTCTGAATTACTGATGTTTTGGAGAATATTGAGTTGTTTCCAGTTTTAGCTATTACAAATAAAAAACTCCAGGAACACTCTTACAAGTAGATAGAGCTACACACACAGCTCATAATACAAGGCTTGTAGTCTATGCAATGTCATGGCTTTTCGTCACTGGGTTTCTACCTCAGTGTGAGCAGAGAGAAACTAAAAGAGAGGTAAGACTATAAAGCTGTGTATTTGGCACATTATCTGCCTATAAAATAGTTACATCACCTATTTCTGTGCTTTTTTAAAGGATATCTCCCATCCTGATCATACCTTTAATCAAAGAGGAAAAAAGAATAAATTAATGAAGAAAAAAATAGTTCCAGAGAAGTTGTTACAAAGGACAAGAAATACACTTTAAAGAACATCTGCATTTGATTAGAGGGACCTGGAGAGTGATGCTTTATTATGTCCCTATCATTATAATTCTTTTCAATCATTCTTAGTTTAGAAGAATTTCTAAGATTACACATACTATAGAACCATAAGCTTAAAGAATACTAAAATTAAAAAAAAATTCATGATAATTCTTAATTCTTAATCTTTTTGAGAGGTAGAGGAACATCCAGGATTCTGGTAAGAATGGAAGAAAAGTCAAAAAGTAAACACAAGCATAGAATTTTGTATGTGGTTGTTCAGAGATTTGCTCATGGGCAACAAAATTAATATCCTCGCTTTTAAATTGTACAGAATGGGGCCAGCAGGTGACATGGTGGTTAAAGGCACTAGACTCCCACATGGCTAACCATGGTTTCAAGGCCTGGACCTATTGGCTTGCTTTCTCACATTCTCTCTCTCTCTTTCTCTATCTCTCTCTGATAAAAATGAAAAATAATAAAGTTAAATAAAATAATTCTTTTTTTAAAAATTATACAGAATTAAATCCACATATGTACCAATTTTGACTTGATCTCATACTTTAAGATTGTAAGACTGTCCAAATCCATGAAATTTGAAAGCAACAGCAACACAGTTAAAAAACCACACATGGCTTTGAAGAAAGATCTCAGTTCACTCAGCTGTGCCATATATTTGTGAGTTTGTACACTAATTATGTAACTGCTCTGAGCACCAATTTCCTTACTTATACATGAAGATTTTACCACCTACACTTACCTTCAGTCAAAAGAAATGGCAACTTAGGACAACAAATAAGTTTTTATAAAATTAATAGAGTCAAAGATGAAGAAATCACTTATAACTGGAAAAAAATCAGAAAACTCTCTTATGAACTTAAAAAGCATTTAAAATCCCTCGGGACCAGCAGTTAGGGTAATGGCTAGGTTGCTGGACTCCCACATAGTCGACCGCGGTTCGCATCCCGGACCCGACGGCTTAAACACATGCCAGGCGCGTGTGCATGCGTGCCCAAGATCCCGAGAGGAGAATGGAGGAGAAGGGACTGCGGTGTGGCCATCCCCCCTGGGGGGGGATTTCTCGTTCTTTGTCTCTCTGTCTCTCTCTCTTTCTGGCGAGCACATGCACCCTATAGGAAAAACCTCTCCAAAAATAAAAAAAGCATTTAACATCCCTTAAGGATAAGTGCAAGTTTAAAAATATATGTGGCTTTAAGAACTAGGTGCTTTTAAAAGATTTATTTTCTTGTATATATGTTATACCTCAGTAAAACTGATTTTAAAAGAAAGAAATGGGAGGGTGTAATTGTTACATTGCTGGACTCCCACATGGATGACCACGGTTCGAGTACTGGACCCAGCAGCTTGAAACACACTGTGCACATGTGCATGCATGCCATCTCCCTGGGGGGTGATTTCTCACTCTCACAGAGTCTCTCTGGCAAGCACACATGCCCTATAGCAAAATTCTTTTAAAAAGAGGGGGCGGGCAGCAGGGAGCATGTTAGTTACAGCACTGGGTTCCTATATGGCTCATCATGGACTGAGCACTGGACCCAGAGGCTTGGAAATCCCTTGGCATGTGTGTGTGCATGCCCAAAATCCCAAGAGGAGAATGGAGGAGAAGGGACTGTGGCATGGCCATCTCCCATGGGGGATGATTTTTCACTTTCCCACTCTGTCTCTCTCACGAGCACATGTGCCCTATGGCAAAAACCCTAAAAAACAAAACAAAACAAAACAAAAAAAAAACAAAGGAAAATAATGTATACACTCCCAGTAGAGGCAAGACGTTTAACAGAAGTATGGAAACACTAAGGCTTATGTTGCAAAGAACTAGGACCCACATTTTCTGAAGCAAGGCTCCTCCTGGGCTCCTCTCTCTTCTTACATGTAGCCTAAGGGATCTCATTCATTCTTATACACTGACGACTCCCTACTGTATCTCTTGACTAAACTTCTAAATTACAGAACCATACACACAGCTAATATTATACAATGACTATTTTATCTGGGTATGACAGATATAATTCACACTAACATGTCCAAAATTAAACTTAGCAACATTTCCATCAACCTGTTCCTTCAGTGGTTAACTCCATTCCTCCAATGAGACCAAAAACCCAGATTCTAGATTTCTGCCTGCTATGATTAATCTGTTGGCCCCTAAGTCCTCTAAATTCAATCTCTGAGCCATTGCAATTGAATCTTTTATTTTTAAAGAAGAATTATTTATTTATTTAGTTAATTCCATTTGTTATTATTTTTTATTTTGACCACAGACAGAGAGAGAGAAAGGGAAAGGGAGAAAGCAAGCTGCAGGTCCAGGACTCGAACCGCAGTCTGCCATGTGGGAATCCAGCGCTCCTAACCACCACACCACCTGCCAGTCTCCGCAACTGAATCTTAACTGCTGTTCCAACCTGTCTCACCACTGCGGTGAACTCCAACCCTAAATTTATACTAATAGGCCAGATCTGTGTCTTAATCAACTGTGTATCTCAGCCCTGAACACAATTTCTACATAGATAATACTTATTAAGCAGAGGTTCAGTAAATGGCCCGTCAGCAGGTACGGAAGAAAATGAATTTCCCACTGCTCCTCCACAGCGGCATTCTATACCTTGGTACACTACTTTCCTCAGCCAAGAATGAATGCCCTTCCTAATCCCGGCCATCTCCAGGTAGTGTCATCTTCTGTGCTCCGCTCACTCTGTGAACATATTTCTAACACAGATCTTATGACTCTACATTCCTATCTGTCACCTCAAGACATTATTCAGTATTGCCACCTCTACGCTATTTCTTTATCTTATCGATCTTTATGTTATTATAACCACCAATGATTAGATGAACTTCTACATGTGCAGACTGTGTTAGATAAAACTGTTATGGACTGAACCGTGATACCCACCCCAAGTCTTACGCTGAAGTCCTAATGCCTAGTGCCTCAGAATGTGACTGTCTTTGCAGATAAAGCCTTTAAGAAGGTAATTAGGTAAAATGAGGCTAAGCAGGGCGAGTGCTAATCCAATCTGACTGGTGTACTTATTTAAAAAGGAAATTTGGACACATCAAGAAAAACCAGAACACGCACACACAGAAAAGGCCACATGATGACAAAAGGAGGCTGCAGCCACCTAAATGCCACAAAGAGAGGCCTCAGGAGAGACCAATCCTTTTGCCACCTTCACCTTGAACTGATGGCTTCTAGAATTGTGAGCTGATCAGTCTCTGCTGTTCAAGTCACCCTGTCTGTCATAAAGCATTACAGAAGCCCTAGCAAACTAAAGCCTGCCAGGGAGTAGTAACCCTGTCTGTATTATGGACCTATCAGAATGCTGAAATGTATTCTGTCACAAGAGGCAAGGACTCTGCATTCTAAGCACCAGCTCAGTAATTAGCATATGGTAGTACACCCACTAATAAAGATAGAAGTGATTCTGTCTGAAGCACAGAACTCACGAAGTACAACTGTGGTAAATAAATGTACAGGACATCCGAGGGCTCCAAAAGTAGGGTGAATCTGGGGACTTTATACCTGTACAACTGGTAGAAAACAGAAGACTCTGAGAAGACAGTAAGATTAGAGCATCAGAACAACAGGTGGTGTGGTGATTAAGGGTGCTGAACTCCCACATGGCCGGCCATGGTTTGAGTCCTGGACCTGGTAGCTTGCTTTCTCACTTTCCTCCTCTCTCTCTCTAGCTCTGTCCCTCTCTGGTCAAATAATTAACTAATTAATTAATTAAGTTAAATAATTCTTAAAAGAAAAAAGACTGGGGAACAAAATTAGTCCAATGATGCTATGCAGTTATAATGGGGCCTAGCAGGTAGAGGAGAGATGCTGTAATAATGGGGAACAGTCAAGTATAACATAGGATGGTAGTGGGACCAGCAGGTGGCATGGTGGTTAAGTACTGGACTCCCACATGGCTGACTGTGGTTCAAGTCTTGGACCTGGTGGCTTGCTTTCTCACTTTTGCTCTCTCTCTGCCTTTCTCTCATCAAATTAAAAAGTAATAATAATAAGAAGAAATAAAATTAAATAAATAATTCTTCTTTTTTAAAAAAAATAGCATAGATAGTAGTGATTAGGCCAAACAGCTAATACTTGTCACAGTTAGAACCGACAAGTTAAATTTCTTCTTGCTCCATCTTTAATTTCTGTCCACATCATCCTCAAGGGAGAGAATCTGGGTAAACATGTAGGTGACATGCATAGCTTTGAAAATGTTGACTTTTGTCTTCCACGTATATGCTAGTTTTTTTTTCCCAAATGACTAAATGTTCTGCAAAACAGAACACGGTAAGCTTTCAAATACTCATGGGAGCTTGTAAAAGTAATACAACATTCATGTAATTTCCACTTGCTACACAACAGACCCTGAGGTTGTTTTTCTGGTACATAACAAGTGGTTCTGTTGCTAAGAAAAAAACAGGCCTCTTCACTAAAGATATGAAAAAACTTGAACACAGCCAAAAATAAAGCTTTTGAATTCTATCACTTTTTGTATCTGAAGAGTGAAGGCGGAAAGTCACAAGTGAACCGTGTTAACTTTATCAATGAGATAGTCAGATTCTTTGATTCTACAGTAAAAGGTTATTATATGCCAGAACCCATTGCTTCTTCCTTAAAAGTAGTTTTAATATTGGGGCCAGTAGGTGGCATGGTTGTTGAAGGTGCTGGATTCCCACATAGCTGACCATGGTTCTGGTCCCATACTGGAGGCTTGCTTTCTCACTTTCCTTTCTCTTTCTCTCTCTCTCTCTCTGGTCAGATTTAAAAAATAATAACAAATGGAATTAAATAAATAATTCTTTTTTTAAAAAGGTAGTTTTACTATCAATGTGGTTGTACTTGATTACTTGTAAGAAAAAATCTGGATAGAACTCAACTAGATTTCTGTAAGCACCTAAATTCATTTTCACTTCCAGTCTCTAGATTTGTTTCAGAGTAATATCAAATCTGAAGTGTAATCCTGGTAATGTAATAAGCATAAAGTAGGCTAAAGCAAATATGCAGGGATCTACTAAGAAATTAATATATAAAAAAATTAAACCACAATTTAGATAATGATGGAAAAATACAAACACCAACAGCTAACCTTTATGGAACATCTGGCATGACCCAGGCACTACGCTAAGGACTAATATTTAAGTTGAGTCACATGGAAATGATGACTCCATAGAGTTCAACCTAATACACTTTTTCATTTAATCCTTAAAACTACCTCAGTTAAAGGGTATTGTATTATTCCTATTTTACAGATGAAGAAATTAAAATGTAGAAGATTTAACTTGATCACAATTGAAGTAATAGAAAATAGAAGAACTGGGACTAAAGTCTAGGTTTAAATCCAAACTCATGTTCCTATTGCATGCTATACAACATCAGTGGCCTCTATGTACTGTGGGAAACTGCACATCAGCGAGTCCGCCAAGGCCATTTTGTGAGTCTTATACTATCGCCATTTTAAGGAAACCTTTAAGTTTCGATTTCTCAGCGAGCAAACAATTACACAACGCCAAAGGCCACAACTGGCTCCCCTTCAAAACCTCACCTTCAAAACCATACTACCCTGCACCTCATGATTGGTCCACAAAGCAACCAATCATAACCCACTTTTTACAATCTTTCATTTAACCAATCACCATCCACCAAAATGTATATAACCATAATCCCTGGCCCACAATAAACAGACGACCCCGAAGAGCTATAACACTGTGTCGTCTCCGTGCTGTAACACTGTGCCGTTTGTCCCGTCTCTCACTCCTTCCCTCAGGAAACCTGTTCGACTGTCCTGCGGGTCAGGACACGTGGCGCCTGGACAAGGGACCTGAGTACGAAGGATCCAGTGAAGAGCTCCCAAGGAAGGCTCCAGTGCAGAGCACTGAGAAAACAGAAGAGGAAAACAGAAGAGGATTGCAGAGACTAGTCCAGAAGGGGACGGCAGAGAATCGTCCAGAGAAAGGCCGGCGAAAAACATAGAAGGATGAAGAGAAGACGTCCTGGTAAGTAGTTACTTATGTTTATTTTTAAGTACGGGTAATAATGGGACAAGAGCTTAGTCAACATGAACTATCTGTTCAGGGCTTAAAAGAAGCCCTTGCCGTTATGGTCACTAAGGGAGAGCAGATCATGCAAAATGATCAACCCCAGGAGGAGGCTATAGCCGCCTCAGATCTAACCAAGGATCCTAAAATTGAAAAAGAACAAGGAGAAGATCTTATTTCCCTAGATAGTGAGGAAGAAGTTAAAAGTCCCATAGGCGAGACAAAACCCAAACAATCCAAAAAACTAAAAAAGAAAAACAACCTTAAGGCTCTACAAGAGCCAAAGAAAAACGAGTCATCAACTAGTTCAGAGGAGTAAATCCTAGAGGCCGAGGCAGCCAAATATAATAACCCCAAATGGTCACCTGAAGAAGAAATTTTGGAAACAAAGGCAGCCAAGTACAATAATTCAAAATGGCCGCCTTTCAAAAAATGACCGCCATCTTACAACTTGGTCGCATCTGCACCACCTTTGGTGAGGCCAGTTATTGACCCTAGGGAAGAGATTTTGAATAAAATTAAACAACTTGAAGAACAAATTCAATTAGAAAAGAAACATCAAGACTTAATATCACAATTGGAAAAACGGAGAGTGGATAAATCTAAAATTACAGATTCCTCACAGAATCGCTATCAGCCCAGTTTTACCCCTGGCGCAAAAATTAAACCAGTTCAGATACCACAACCATCAATGAACTTTGAGGAACAGGAAGCCGTCCCGGTAACAGAAACCACAGATCAACAAGGACAAGCATGGCGCCACGTATGTGGCTTTGATTTTTAACATTATAAAAGAAATTAAAACAA